TTAGGTTAAAATGTTTCAGATTAAAATGCTTCAGGTTAAAATGTTTTAGGTTAAAATGTTTCAGATTAAAATGTTTCAGATTAAAATGCTTCAGGTTAAAATGTTTCGGGTTAAAATGTTTAAGATTAAAATGTTTTAGGTTAAAATGTTTCAGATTAAAATGTTTCATGTTAAAATGTTTGGTGGCGCAGTGGTTAGCGCACACAAGCCATGTCCAGACCTCTTAGTCCTTGCTAGGGCCGACTGGGGTTCAAATCCAACCTGTGGTCCTTTGCCACATGTCTCTCCTCTCTCTCTTTTCCCCTTTCCTGTCAGCCTACTGTCAGAATAATGAGCCACTAGTGCCATAAAAACTCAAAAAGAAAAAAAAAATGTTTTAGGTCAAAATGTTTTGTTGGGCTTAGGAAAACATGTTTATTTGCTTTTCCATTTGGTTATGCAAAAAGGCGAGGATTACTGAAAATGAGGCGGATGTTTGCAGAATACGCTGTGACTGTTCATAAGACAAATCTATGGGCGTGTTAAATCAGTGCAGAAACAGCGCAGGCTTTGCTGGGCTCAACATATGGATAAAGGTGTAATGCTTTAACACAGCCAGTCAGAGGGGGGGTCATGGTCTGGGCCAGCATGCCTTCAGAGGGGTAGTGGAAACGCTCCGTGTGCTGACAGGATGGATGAGTGATTGCAGAGCTGCGGCTCCACGGGAAATAATGAAGGATGCAGATGCAAAAGAATCCTTAATTAGATTTTTTAATTATTGAGGATTCACTTCTCCTTCTATAGTGTCCCAATTAAAAAAGCTCATCAAAAACTAAAGAGATGAAGGGAAAGTGTTTTTCTCCCTGTTTCCCCTCCTTTCTGTCTCATCCCTCCTCCTCCTCTTCCTCAGCCTCCTCTTCCTCGCCTCTTTCATTTCACCTGCTTCCTGTTTGATGGCTCGTCCGCGCTGATGAGCAGGAAATGGAGGGGCTCTGGCTGCTTTAATCAACGCCGTTGTTTTCAGGGGAAAAAGTAAAGAGAAGAGGAGGAGGTGAAGGTGGCATCAAGGCTTCTTCTTCTGTGATAATGAGTCTAATGATGACAGAAGCTCACCTCAGCTTTTAAAGTTGATGTCCAAAAACTTTCACAGAAAAACAATCAGGGAGTGGGGAGGGGGGGGCAAGAATAAGAAAATCCAGCAGTAAATGATTAATCTTCATGTTCTCCCTCATTTTCAGCAGTAAACAGTGAAACAAAGTGGGAATTTACCCCCCCACCTGTGAAACTGCAATAACTGGTTCGGTCCTCAGGTCCTGCATAGCACCAGGTCTC